TATCTATATATACTACAGATAAAAAACGGTAACCAAGGACAGAAGAAGTCAATGAGGAAACTAAACAAGATTTTTTACGCAATCTAGGTGATCATTGAGTTGATTGTTTAGTTGAGTCAGTCACATTATATCATTGCAACTTACCAACGTATGCTGGAAAACAGCTTTTTATCTGGGTGTGATTTTCACAAACTATTAGTATTATATATGTGGTATGGCTTTAAAAATGAACTGCCTGTATTGTGTGGTTATCAAGTATCAGAAGCGTGTTGGCAAATTTATGGTTAAATACTCAAGTGAATCAACGTAGGGTTGCAGGTGGTCATCTGTAATATTAGGTAAATGAGATGAAAATTCATCTGAAGAAATGTTTTTTGTAAAATAAAGAAGGAAACGGAACTCTTTTCACTGACCAGATGTGTATCGATTGTGGATGTCTTTTTGGTAGCTAAAACAAAAACAAGACTCAGTTGCTGAATTTTAGCTCATCATAGTCGATGATTCACTCATCACTCATATTGCCAATGTTGGATCCCTGTGCTTTTGATGCAGCACACTTAATGCAAGATGTCAATTTTTTTTTATTTTCTGACAGTGACGTGAGGGTGCTCAGGGTTTAGAAGGGGGTGATTTGATACTGTATATATGTAATTTAAGATAAAATGCAGCTGATTGTGTGATTTATCGTTGAAGCAATGTTCAACTTCAAAAATTAAATGTACGAGGTTAATGTAAACATGGCAGAAATTCAGGCCAGGATAGTAGTATACTATATTGTTATCGACACAGGAGGTCTCCAGCTGCACACTTTACGATTGTTTTGGGGTTTTACTAGATTTAAAAAAAATAATTTATATATTGAACTTTAACTTAAAAGTTAGTGAATTGCAAATGCAGTTTCCAGAAATAATATTTTAATACTTTCTATAGTCTTGTATACTGATAGATACTGATGTATTTAAAGGAAACTCAGGTTGGTGGTGTTATAATATGCCCTCAGAAAATCTCAACAGCAATCAGGTCACTTGTTGCAATATGGTGATACAAAGAGGAGATAAATGAGTTTATAGCATGACCTGTTCACTAGAATAATCTTTATATCGGCAAAGAAAGTTCATTGGCCTTTATTGAGTAAGTTATCAAATTTCATTTGCGTCCACTGTAGTCAATCAGTGTTCTTTTATAACATGTTACAGTGTTTTAACATGGGGGGAGGGGGATTTTTAGTATGTCTAGAATTAATTTATCTCACTAGTTAAAAGATCAGTGGTCAACTGAGATGCAATTAAATAGTTATAACATGCTTATAAAACAACTGTTCATCTTCTAATATGTTTCTGTACAGCTGAGAGTTTCCATGCGCAGTGTAATTGCATAGTGAGTTTGTTTACTGTGTTTCTACATCTCCCAAGGAAGCACATATATAATTATTTTGTTTGTAAAACCATCTGTTTATACCTCCATGGTAAAACCAACTAACAATGTCTTCTGTTGTGTGGACTGTTTTTGAAGTGTATGCCCATCTAGTAAAGCTAATATGTACTACAATTGAAATGTATTAAGGTACATTACAATGTAACCACTTCCTCTCTCCCTCCCAAACATCATATCCAAAACGATCCTTCCAAATAAGTAACTGGCATAAAAAGTGTAATATCTTGTAAGTTACGAATTTTGTATATTTCTTTGTGACTACCAGTACACCTGATGTAGCTACGATAGCTTTTTTATACGGTTAAATTAAATGCTTTAATCAGCATTCATTACTTGTAACATTTTCAATGAAATGATTACTTTGTTTACAACTACTTTCCAAGAATCCTTTTTTTATGTGCAGAATGTATACATATAAATCAAGTCAATGTGATCCTTTCATAAATTTAAAAATAAATACAGTTGTTTGTTATTATTAGAAGTATTTCAATGCGAATCATGTCGCATGTAAAAAATAGTTACTAGTCAAAAATATGAAAATTAGGAAGTTTTTAAACGGGAGGTGGTCATCGTGATAATGTACAATATGGGTTCCATACTACATGTAGTATAAAGATGTTGGTCAAATGTTCAGTTGCAATGACCACCACCCTTTTAAACTCCTTTACATGGCTACTCTATGCTTAGCTTCCATTTTCCAGTATAGGACCTCACATGAAGTAGATGGGGTATGAATTCTCCCTGGAGTATCACAGAGAAATATAGTACCGGTAGTTTAAGCTGGTGATCAGTTTAGAAATAACAAACAAATTCATCACTGAAATACGTCTATATATTCTCAATAGTAACATCCACAGTGGGCTCAACCGTGTTACAGTGAACAGAAGTAAAGACTTCATTGTGGAGAATACCTTGAGATAAATGAAATAATTTCATTGTAACATTTTACTAATTTATTTGAAGTTTGAGCAATGAAAAGGGGGTTTCTTTTAATTTGTCATCTCCATATTTTCATTACTTGCTGTATTCTTTTATTGGATACATTTTATGTTGTAATTTTCAGTAATTGTAATATTAAATAATTGTATTGCATCAGTTTGCATTTGATTTATTTTAGTGTATTTTATATGTTTGGTTTTTAAGAGTCTATCGTTGTGTGCATAGATTGTTGCATGTATGTAACATGCATTATCTAACTCTACATGATTAAAATTTGGTGAAATATAAAACAGGGCACATGTGCATGGCATTAAAAAAATGACTGACTGGTGGCCATTTTTACGATTGAAAACTCTACACAACTGGTATTACATCATGAATCTGGATGCGTCTTATGATTAGTTTTTGTTTTACTATATACAAGCATTAATAGTACTTTTCAGTACATGTAATTGCGAAAAGATGGTATATGAATACAGAATCATTCATTTATTTCGTCCACACCAGTACAGCCAAGAAACATGTCAGTTCATGTGTTAAATTATGGTCATAAGTTATGAGAATGAAGGAGTCAATCAATTTTTGACCTTTAAATGAGCAATGTCCATCAGCAAATTCGTTCATGGTAATGATCCCCCTCCAAGCGGATTGTTGGTAAATTAACGATAGGTTTGAATACTAACTAGCAATGCTACATATGTTGTAATTAAAGTAGAGAACAACAATGCTGTTTTAACCCTTACTCCGACTCACTTTCATTCTCTAAGCCTCAATTAATTACTGCCGTTGATGCCTACCTCAAACAGGAAAGTTTAGCGTGAGAAATGCCTGAATGTTGTAAGTAGCATTCTGTTCTGAATAAAGTGAAGAAAACAAATGTTTTTCTGGTTAAGTGAGATAAATGGTCTCTTTCTACTGTTTTGCATTATCACTAAAGATGTTTATTAAAGCGTTAATCGTACATGAATGTTAAAAAGACTGATTCAGTGCATTCACTCAATGCTTACAGAATGAATCACCATAAAAACATCTTATGAATGTAGCAATGGTTCAATTAATTTAAATATTGGTTGATTTCAAATTATGGTAAAAAAAAACAACCTCAAATCCAAGCGATAACAAATTTTAAAATGTATTTTGTTGACCATGAAGTATTTATCTTGTTATAATCACATATAAACCATTGCCCCTCAAATTGGTTGGAATTGACCTACTCAAAGAAAGTTCTATGTGATTTTCATGTTTAACAACATTTACTGACGAATCAACATCAATGAATTACAAAGAATTTTTCTCAGTTAGAAACTGCAAAGTTTTTATTCCTGAGTATGTGCTGAATTAATTCATTGTTGATTTGATTACTAAAGCTTTTCAGTGGTCAAAAACTCCATGTGCCGTCTGCTGGTGTGCTCAGTGTCTAGAATTCATACAGTATGCAACAGGTGTGATATATGTAGAACGAAGACCAAATTTAAAGTCATGTGAACTGCAAGCTAACCACAAAATCTGAATGTGTGTGTGAAATGAAAAAGTGGTTATTGTGTTTTTCTCAGATTCTTTTTTCCATAATGTCCTATCATTTAGACTCTTAAATCACATACTATGCATGGGTATGAAAACAGCAAACCCTTACAAGTCACAACGTATTACTATCGTCTTAAATGATTGAGCTGAATACAATCTCAATTGGATTCTCTGAAACCGCTGCATATGTAAATTATGCTTATAAATCACTTTCTCATCAGGTTTATAATTGGGCAAATATTTTAACAGTGAGATTTCATGAACAAAGCTATCCATATAATTAAACCAAATCTTCTGTGAAAACCTTAAATGCATTTTTAAACCAGTCTAGACTGTTCTGTGAAAACCTCTGGCAAGAAAGAACATTTCAGCTGAATCCTTTCTGCTGGAGTCTGGTTTTACAATCTTTACGGTTTTAAAAGTTTTAGCCAGATCTTTCTTGAATTTTCCACTTTGTCCACCTTCCCACAATTTACACAAGAATATTCCATTATTTCTCAGAACCTGTTTAGCAAATCCAAAAGCGGCTTGACACAGTACCATGATGTTCTCGTGATCCATTGCATGCATGCCTGATGCATTAGGGGCCATGTCACTGATTATGACATCAGCCTGGTTCTTTTGCATCTGTTCAAAGATCAATTTCTGGGTGCTCTCTAAAGTGAAATCTGATTGGTCAATAATTACAGCGCCATTGATTGGCTGAAAGTACTTGAGGTCAACTGAAATAACCTGGCCTTTGGAATGACTGGCATCTGAAAATGAATGAATACAAACTGTTTCAATCCATATCTTTTTATTTTTGAAGCAAGAACCAGCGATGATCGATACAATTATTTGAAAGAAAGGAATGTTTCTTACAATCTCAACATGGAGTCTAAAATACCAAACTCATTCCACAACTCATATGCAAAGCTCTGGAAAACACTTGTTAAGTGTTGTTAGCATTAAATACAACTTTTATCAAACAATATTGTACAGTACCTGATTCACAGAGGGGTCGACAGTTTTTCAATGTTTGATAAAAGTCACAGTTAAATTGTATTACTAGTACAAGCCACTGTGTGTCATTTTTGACATCCATAATTCCTACCATTACTAATTCAGACGAGAAGATAACAAAAATGACAGGCAATACAATTCTATCTACCGGTATTATTAGTACATGCATTTCATTAATTTAGATAACACAAATAATGACTGGAAACTTGAGAGCTGTTAATTTGTCAACATACATCTCTCAAATTTTAGCCTGTCTGACTAAACAGATTGTACAAATGATACATGTGGTACCTATACTGACCTTTGCCCTCTGCATTGATTCTCTCAACAGTCACCTGTGTCCATGCACCAGGGGCAGCCCCACAGTCTATTACCACACTGCCAGGTCTCAATATAGCATATTTATCGTCAATTTCTATTAATTTAAAAGCACTCCTCGCCCGGTAGTTGCCCATCTATATGGAAAAACACAGATATATGATGACACGTTTTGAATTTATTATGTTTGTAGCTTTTTTCAATTTCACCTCTTTATTCATAACATAATAACGTAAAAGAATTCATTCCAAGAATAAACTTCCAAATTTATCGATTAAAAAGTTAAAACTTGTAAAACTACCTGTGCCCTTTTCACGTATGGGTCGTTCAACTGTCTGCTCAACCATTCTTGAGAACTTTTCGATCTCCCCTTCAAGTCTGTTGGTGATTTTTTGAAGACAGTCGTGGTTCGGTGGAATCGACGTGTACACACGCGGCTAAAGCTTGCCAACAACATACTTATTACCCACGACGACCACGCCCTCCCATGTATGAAGACTGGGCTACAAGGAGGTTGTCATCATCATCATCAGTGTCGGTATCATCGTCATCGCTACTACTTTCCTCCTCAATTTCTTTCGCTCGATAACTCTTTGTCGGACTTGTGGCATTAGTTAACCATATTATAAAAGATCCAATAATATTCACAATGATAATTGAAGCGATTAAACCAAGCGTTATCTTAATTATCGCAAAATACATCGAATAATATCATGGAAGCATGGTAGCCGACAAAATCCATTAATGGAAATGAGGTGAGCCAGGAAACCCCCTGACGTACTACTAGTAAAATGTGACGTGTTATGACGTACCGGTAATGGCCAATCCGCATGCGCAGACGACCACTTACAAACCACTTACGGGATGGCAGTGTGTCGACGATCTCTCGTGATATTTCGTTTATTTTTTAAAGATGTATGTGACACGAAAAGCTACAGATTCTGCTCTTCAGGTACGTGATCAACGGGTATACCAGTTTGGATACATGACTGACAGACATTACTTCAGTTAGGCCATGAAGCCTAGACATGAAACTCTACTCGACGGTTTTCGGACTGGGGAATCCTTGACCTTGAAAGTACGTTTCCTAGTCTGCGGTAGTACAATCGTAGAGATGGTAACAACGTTGACGTTTTCATATAATAAATAGCTTTGGGGACTATACCTGAATTTGAACAATATTAACATTATAATATTAATGCAATGCCAAGTTGTGAAACATTTAAATACTTCCGGTTAATAATGGAACACGTTACTCGTGACGTGCGTACAGAGACGTGACGTTGCACTCGTACGATTCAAAAAATCTAAATTCTGTACCAAAAAAAAAAACAACAACTTCGATTGATAATCTACATACATTACAATTGTTTATCAACACTGTGTATACGTTTTGAACCTGTTCCGTTATTATGATGAAGGGTCGACAAGGAGTATTTTCTTAAGGTAGAAGCCTACTAATAAATTTAAATAACCAGAATTAATTCATTTTACAATAAATTGTACTCCAAGGCAATATAAAGATATTGACCTAAAAAAAGTTGAGGGTCACATACCTGTTTAAAATAAAAGTTTTAGATAATTTTGCCAATAATCATTAAAGTAAAGGGAGATTTAATAACTTGAATATTTATTATTTGATGTGGTAAGTGATACACGATGTGATATACCTGTTTTGTCCAGGCTTGAAGAGCCATAATAAAGTTTTGTTACCATGGAAATGAGTGCGGTGACGCCATATTTTTATTAGCAATTTAGAAACCCATAATGTAGAAGAATGCTTATACAAAGTCTTGTGTAATTGACATGGGTTTTGAAATTGTCATATATTGGAGCGCTGTACCTTAAGGATGGAGTACTTTTTGTTGTTCTGAATTATTTAAAAGATCTGGGTTTTAAAAAAGTGTCAAAAAAATGCAATTTTTTTTAACAATGTGTTCTATTGAATTGTTCTAAGAATAGCAATTTTCAAGAAATATTAGGACACGTTTCTCAAAAATCATAACTGTAACACACACAATAATGGGCATGGATCTAGAAGCCGTACCTACACACGAATTGGTGACGTCACAAAATACATGACCTTCAATCGGGGTCGTTTCCTCGGTATATACGAATTGGTATATACAAATTACAATAAAGATACTTAAGACATTACACATAAGGTAAAATAAATCATGTGACAATATAATGATAATAACGGTAATAAATCCTAGCTTAACAGTTGAACAGAACGATCATATAGTCAGTCGGGTGACGCCGAGGG